GCAGGATTTGGAAGGTGTTTCATAAACTCATATAACTCAGAGCAAGAAGACATTTTAGGGTCTTGAGCAATGGATAGAATTTATACAGGTAGGTAAGTGTAGCATGTCAAGTAAATGAGATTTTTATTATCTAATATAATAAGATTATGTGAATTTTTCCTAGGCAGTTAAAATGTGATGTTTGTGGCAGAAAAAAGTGTAAACAACTAACCTATGTGTTTTCTTGCTCTGCAGAGGTAAAGTGTAGGATACTCCTGGCTCTTCTTGAATATTCAGGTAATATGTTGCATGATTTTTACTGTTTGAAGTGGTTGTGGCCCAGCACCTTGAAGTCTTACAATATGAAGTCAGTGCCTTCCACCATTTACAAAGATAGGTGGAAATATGATCCCTACTTTCTTGAAAGCCTTGGAAAGATCTTTACAAAATTTTTATAGTTTTAATAAAAACACAACATATACTCATCTTTGATTATGGGTAAGAACATGAAAACATAGAACTATGTACTTAAACAGAGTGCCATTACAAAGGAGAAGGGAGCAGGTTTTGGTAAGTTAATTGTGCAAATAGAATTTACTGTGAAACTGTGCCTACCTTTTGTTTATGAACAAGGATATATGTAAACATTTTACAAATCTTATACTAAAATACTTCTACCATGGACTTAGTGAGAGCTCAAACAATTTTGGCAATAGAAAGTGAAACTAACGAACGATTAAATATTTGATAAACTCTAAATTACAGATGAAAGTCTGTTAGTGTCATAAAGTCGGTCACTGTATCTATTTTGATAATCAACATAAGCCGCAATAGTGACTGGCAAATAGATATTCAACAAATATTTGTTGCAAGAACAAATGAAAAATGATATAAATGAGAAAAGAACAATCTATGAAATATTTCAGCAAGGTTTTTATTCAGAATTCATTTAGAAGGAAATGGATCCTAAAGGTTGAAAAATTCAAATACAGTTGGAGTGAACAGTTTAACGTTAGCTTGCTTTATGTCTCTTTCTGTAGATGCAGGGACATAGACATGTTGTTGACTTACTTTTATTAATCTATTTCACATAAAGCGTGTGTGTATGCACAAATACCATTACAGTAACTTTAGATTTTCTAGGTATTAGCTCCTAAAAATATAACCTGAATGATTACCTGTTTTATCAGTTAGCTTTTGTTGTGTTAAAAAAAAATCCTAAAACTTTGTAGCTTAAAGCAACAACCATTTATTATTGCTCGCCTGTACAGGTCATCTAGGCTGGTCTGCTGATCTGCGCCAGGTTTTGCTGATCTTGGTTGGGTTTGCCTATGTGCCAGCGGTCTTGGTCACATATGTGCATGTGACAGTCGGCTGGCTGTTAGCTAGGGTCACAGGGCTGACTGGGCCATATGTCTCTCATCATCTGTGAGGCTAGCCTCTAGCCTGGTCTTGTTCACATGCTAGATTTGCAAAATTCTAAGAAGAGAGCAAAAGTGTCAAGAGCTCGCCACCTTTAGTTGGCCAAGGCATGTACATGGCAGGCTCAGATTCAAGGGGTAGAGGCATGGACTGTGTTTGATGGGAGGAGCCTCACAATTATATTGCAAGGGCCTGGATACAGGGAGGGGAAGAATTTGTGACCACTTTTACAATCTTCCACACTTGGAAATTTTAAATTATACATGAACAAATGAATCAAGTTAATCAAGAGGGCTTTTGGTTGGTTGGTTGAATTTTGCCTTAATTAAACAAGTTTTTGCCTTACTTTTTGACTGAGTAATAATAATAACAAAAATATCTTACATTTTTTNCAAGTTTTTGCCTTACTTTTTGACTGAGTAATAATAATAACAAAAATATCTTACATTTTTTGAGCTTTACTAATAACAACACACTTCATGGGCCTCATTTTTATGGATTTCATTGGGCCCTTGCAGCCACTTCGTGAGAATATTATTGCCTCCACAGTTTTAAAGATGAAGCAATTGACATTTGGGCAGACTAATAATAGTAAATGGTATTCATTCAACACATATTTTTGAGCATCTGAAGATTATGCATGTTAGGCCTTATTGATTAAATGAATAAATAGGCCACGGTCTTGTAATTCAAACTTAGTTTTGCCAATTCCAAAAGTGATCTTGGAATACATTGTGTTATTCATTAATATTCAAATGGTTGTTCTGGCAGATGCTTGTTTTTATTTCAATCTTATTTTTCTGTTCCTCTCATGATTCTCATTTTTCCTACTTTATTTGGACACTCTCTTTTCTCTTTTATATATATATATATATATAGAATGGCACCAAAGCAGTAGCCAAATTACTCCGTATTTTTGTCTGTGAAATTATGTTCTTCACTTGAAAAGGATGGACTATGTCTGCTAAATACTATTCTTAACCCCCTTTTATTCCTACCTTTCTCTTTCTCTAATTTCTTTGTTTATTTTGCTTTCTTTTCCCTACAGTCTGTGTGTCAAATAATGGCTGGGATTACTTGTGTGTGTCTAGAAACCATCATATTCTCTCATTCATAGGCCAGCTAGCTGATTAAGGAAATTGAACTTATTAAATAACCAAGATTAAATGAGGTGTTAATATTTTAATACATGTTTGTAGAAAATGAGTCGTAAGTGCTTAAATACTGGCTGCACATTTGTTTTGAGTGTATGCCATTATTTGAGCACTTACTCAAGCACTTACAAATGAAGTTGAAACATTTGATAGGTACAAAAAAGCATTTGTTTTGAGTGTATTCCCACTACAAGACAAATTGTACTGTACTAAAATAATAAACAAGCTGTCACAGAAAACCAGAGCCCCCGCTTTTCTTCTTTTGCTAGAAGCTGGAAGCAGCTGCTGTGATTCTTACTGTAGTTCTTTCTTATTGATAAAAATGGGGAATAAGAATACCTTTGGTAAAGGATGGACACTTAGG